CCGCTGCTGCCAATTTGGAAGGAATTCGTGACGACGGTGCCCGCGGACGCGGATAAGCGCAGCCCGGATGTTGCGTGTCTTCACTGTCGTTCGGTAGTGTGTAATGCGCGCCCAGCGAACCTGATGCGTCACGCGTTGAATTGCCCGGACATGCCGGCCGAGGTACGTCTCAGTCTACGGGCCGATAATCCGCCACCCGCGACGGTGACGCGCCAAGAATTGAATGCGGCAATGGCGGAACGCCAGCAAGTGACCCAGACTCAAAACCGGAGCGAAGACGGCGAAACGGAGGAGAACGAGACGGCTGTGACGGAGCGTCGCCCCGTGCTAGGCAAACGCCCGCGCGTTGGAAGCGACCAGGACAATCTAGAGCGTGTGCTGACGTCCATCCGAGATGTGATGGCTCAGACGCTGGAGTGCAAGCAGCAAGAGCTGCAGCTGAGGAGGGAGGAACTCGAGTTTCAGAAGGAGGCGCTGGCCACGAAAATGGAGGAGCGACGCCAAGCGAGAGAAGAGGATCGGAGGGACAGACGCGAGCAACGCGAGGCGGACAGACAGGAGAAACTCGAGTTGGCACGGATCGAGAACGAGAAGAACCTGGCCTTTTTGAAGGCGGTGATGGAGTCGCAGCAGCAGCGGCGATGAATGGCAAGCTGCAATTTGCGTGTTATTGGCAAAAAGAACTGGTGTTTTGATTATATACATCCGACCCAGAATTTAAAACTCATGTTGCTAGTTTCTTGCTACGGTAGTTATCGTTTCTAAAGGCATTCAGCGCTCGAATTTCTCCCACAGTTGGTCAAAATGCTTATCAAAACGATCTGCAGTGGAAGCGGTGCAGTTAGAAACAGAATTGAAAAGCAAAACGCCATAAGAAACGTACCGACGATAGGTCCGTTCTTGTGGATGACGAGGTTTTCGTTGTTGCCCACTACAGCCTGGCGACTCCAGTTGAAGGATCCTGCAGCGATTAAAAAGCAACACCGTGAGTGACGCGACATCTCAGAGTAGTGCAACATTGGCAACAACGTACCATTCAGCAAAATCGTTTTATCAATGACACAGAACTGATGGCAGCGTCAACAAGTTAAAGACAAATTAAGACAAGTAGTACAACCAACTCACCTTGTGGTGCATGTAGGTCCGTGCATTGTCGTCGCGAACAGGGATCCCCTAGTTACCAACACACGCCATTTGTACGAGTTAAAATTTGCAGCTATGGAATTATGAAGCCAACTTCCTGTCGTACCGCATCGATGAACTTCTGAATGTCGGAGCCTTGGCCCTTTGCCTGGCCGTCGTCCGTGATGATGCGGATTTTGACGCCACGGTTGAAGGCTTCCAGCACGGCGTCTGCAATCTGCAAAACAGTTGTCAGAGTCTGTCTCCATCAACTCGAACAAGCAGTCCGTACTTCGTCACAGGTAATCGTGAAGACGCAAATGTCCATGGTTTTCTTGGCACCTTTGAGGTATCCTAGCATCGTCAAGAGCGAGCTGCCCTGGTCGTGGATCTTCTTGCAATTTTTACGTGTGCAGCCTTCGCCCGAGTGGAAGTTTTTGCAGGGCATCGCGGGATCCGGGAAGAACAGCACGTCCACGAACGAGTCAGTGGTAGCGATGGCAGAGGTAGTCTTTCCGAGACAATTGCCCATAACTGGTGTATTTAGCTCTTGATGAAAGGACGGCTCAGGAGATTTACTGGGAACGCAGTAAATAAGAAAGTGGCTGCATGGATAAGGCTTGGCGAAGTAACTTGCAGCCACCATCTGACGTACCATCGGCCATTATCATGAGAGATGAGCCACACAATATCTGTTGCTATCGATGCTTGACCGAAAGTGTCATTGCTGCCAAGATAGCAACAGCGATTCCTTCCGTGCAGATTTTGCTGAGCACGTTCGCAGTACGAATTTCGCACCGAAGTTGGAGGTATTCTCATTGGTCGATTTACCACCAATAGAAGTGCTCGCTGGTGCCCCTTCTCCGCCCAATTGATTGCCAAGCTCCTCGTATCATTGTTGTATCTGCCACCTTGCCCCGCTCAAGATGCGCGAGCATCTCCAGGGCGAGGGCGCGTTGTCGGCCATCGCCATGCTGGTTTCCGGAACCTTCAGCACCGTGATCATGAAGACCGAGTATGCGGTGCGTTCGCACGGCACGGCCACGTGTGTGGACCCACAGACAGGTGAGGGGACGACGTTGTGTCCCTTCGCCAAGCCATGGTTCGGCGTGCTGCAGATGAAGTTGGCCATGACACTATGTCTGGCCTTCCTGTACATGCGCAAGTGCTCGCAACATCGCGAGTATCTGGAGACGCCGGTGTTGCGGATGTATAAGGGAGGACGACGGTATGTGGCCACTGCGCCGTCCAAGGAGGAATTGTCGGCTATTAAACGCAAGTACGCAGGTCACGCTGAGGCTGAGGACAAGGTGGAGGCTCTTAAGCGCAAGTACCGGTCACACCACAACGAAGACGCCAATGAGCAGTCGCCGCTTCTGGCTCCGAGGCTGCTGGGAGGAAAGGAAGACCAGCAGGGACGAGTATCTCTACGTACGATGGCGGCGATTGCACTGCCAGCACTGCTAGATCTGCTGCAGACTGTTCTGTGCAATGTCGGTTTGTTGTGGATCTCATCGTCAGTGTTTCAGATGGCCAGGGGCTCGATCATCATCTTCAGTGCCTTCTTCTCGGTGAGACTCATGGGCAAGAAGCTACACGGATATCACTACGCAAGTATCTGGATCGTCATGCTCGCCGTTGTACTCGTTGGATATGCTGGTGTGGGAAACAACTCAAATGACACGGCTACATCCGATGCCAACGCATTTAACGCGGTGCTGGGGCTACTTTTCATCATCGCGGCACAGATTCTGTGCGCGTTGCAGATTGTGGTCGAAGAGCACATGATGTTGGCCTTGAACGTGAGTCCGATGCTGCTTGTGGGCTTGGAGGGACTGTGGGGTCTTGTCTTCTACGTCATACTGGTGCCAATCCTCACGCTTACGCCTGCAACAGGTTCAGCGTTCGCAACTACTTGGCACGAGGACTTTGTCGACTCTTTCGTGCAAGTGAAGAACTCACCCGCCCTCATAGCGCTCATCTTGGCCTACATCGTAGCGGTGGGCACGCTCAACGTCACTGGAAACTACGTAACCAAGCACTTATCGGCAGTCATGCGCAGCATTACAGAGGTTCGTACTCTTGTTCACTAAAGTAGAGCCTCTCGTCTTGTCTTCTATGTCGGCTCCCTAACGACTTGTTGCTTCTATCAACCTGTAGACGCTGCGCACGCTCGGTGTCTGGATGCTGAGCCTCTTTGTCTACTACGTGGTGCAGTGGCAGGGCTCGGCGTCGCCCGGCGAGGAGTGGACAACATACAGTTGGTCGGTTTGCCCTGTGCTGCTTGTGCTTTGCTGTTGCCTCATTCTAACGTCAAAGTTGTGTGTTCCTGTTTTCTCGACAGGCTGGAACTGCTAGGCTTCGTGCTGATGGTCTATGGCACACTAGCGGTAAGGCGAAATTTTCTTTGCCTCTGGCCAGAGCCCTGCCGATTATGATGAGCTGGAGGTTCTAATATATGTTGTTCTTTGATTGTCAACGCACAGTACAAGCGGCTGATCCACCTGCCAGTGTCGAAGTTATATGCATCCGAGCAGCGCGAATTTTGTCGCGGGCGCGGCGACGCCATCAAGTCGCCCTTCATGGGCAATATGCACAAATAAGAAACGCAACCAATGCAAAAAAAAAAAAAAAACTCAACTGTTAGTGTCCTTGTCCCCCAAACTTTTCGAAAATCTCGGCAAGGCCAAATGAACGGTGGCTACGCCAACAAGCATGCGCGTGACATTCATGAGCTGAAGCGCAAAGTTCGCTCAATGGCACTGATGCTGGGGCTGGTGTTCATCGAAATGGAGTCGCTCGCCTCGTCTTCTATCTCGCTAACACCTTTGTCACTTCTGTCTGGATGTCAGTCTGTAGACGCTGCGCACTCTCGAGGAGTGGGCAACGTAGAGCCGGTCGTTTTGCCTTGTGCCTTGGCGTTTCCCCGATTAAATTATAGCGCTGTTTCTCTTCTTGTCGAGCTCCACATCTGTGGTAAGCCGCATACTTCTGTACCTTTGGTTACCAGAGTAACTCTGTACTGTAGGTCTGTCGGTCATGATGAGCTGGGCCATTTGAGATGCTGCTCGCTGACCGTGCATTGCCTATTCCCCACACACTGTTCACGGAACTGATCCACCTGCCATTGAAGAAGTTGTATGCATCCAAGAGCGTTGCTGCTGCTGTGGATCACAGCCTGTGATGCCGCAAAGTCACCCTTCATAAACAATATCCACAAGTTGAACTGCACGCAACTCAATGCAACGCAAACACAATTGTTTTCTTGGTGTTGGAAATGCACATGCACGTGGAATAACTTGTCGTCGGGGTTCTTGTCTCACAAGTCGCTTTCAGTGGACAACGTGGCGAGATCAGGAGAACACATCAAGGTCGCAAGGGCTACACTTTTACTCTAGGGAACGGCGCGTTTTCTTAGCTGACCACACAAGGAGATTGAGTACCTGTAGCTCGCAACTGTGACTCGCAGGTGACGCGATAAGAACGACCCCAACAAGGAGAGACTTCAGCACTGCTGACAATGGAGCGCCTCTGACCTTACCGACTCGTTGGTGTTGCCAACACCAATTTTGCACGCGGGCTCCGTTTCTGTACTGATGGCGAAACGCGCAGAGATGGACGCAAATCGCTGTCGTGCTGGCACCCCTGCACTTTCGATGTGAAAATGCAAGTGGTTTCACAAGGGAATTCTTTTTCTGGGTAAAACTTTCTAATTTCCAGCTTTGATGATTGTGCTTTCTTGAAAGGTAATAGGAGGACAGAGGTTCTATCGCGCATCGGTGGTGCGGCGGATAGGTTTAATGTGGTCCCACGTGACTGTTCTGAGGCCAAGTCCTCAAATTGTAAACATGCCTCATAAAGCTAAAATGAGGAACGATTTTGCGTCCTCGCTTCCTCAGCTCAAAAGCTATTTGGTGATGTATTTAGTTATGGTTTGAGTTGGAGGACACCTTGCATTGGACAGTGCCGCTACGTGCCTAAAATCATACGGGCACAGAGATCACGCTTTGCTACATTTACCGTATCTGTACATTTTGCAGCGATATGTATTCACATAAAAGAGTAGAACCGAAAAGTATCCAATTTTATTATTGATTGAGTATGATATCCCTTGTTTAGTAGAATGTAGTTAGAGGACCACAGCAAACAATTCAAGCTCGTTTAAAATAAAGTGTTTCCTCAACATTCAGCTCTCAATAACTATAAAAAGGAAAGTGCAGTGTCTATATTTCCATGCGCTAACAGTACGGACACGTTTGGGACACATTTGTATTTTTGTGTATGTGCGATTCACGTATTTTCGGAAGGCATATTGCGAAGAAAAACAGAATGGCAGTATATTTTTAAGGCGCCAATCTTGAAAGTTCAGAAATTTATATTAACGAAATCAGTAGGGAAATGTATTGCCTTGATAGCTCAAAACAGTTTGTATCGTTTTTTGCTTGTCGTGCTCTCATGTCCTGTCGACACGGCAGCATTGTGGATGCTGGTTTTGTTCTGATTGCTATATTACATTTAGGCAAACCTTTTAAGAAGATAGTTTTAAGTGCTGTTGCGTGCGAGCGTTTGTTCGATAGGAATATATATTGGACCGAACGGATTTGAACTGGATCACTCGTTCACAGTAGACAAGAATCCGAGCAATCTCCAAATATACCAATTGTTTATGCATTTGTATTAAGATATCTACCAATCCAATGCCTTGTCAATCGTCTTATCTACCAATCTCGTATCTTATCCAATTCAACCAGTCGAAGCGACTTGAGTTTTTGAGTGTCGTCAGAACACATAAACAGGTCTCGCGTCCCTCCTACTGGGCCTCGTGCCTCACGCCCGACCCCCGCCCCCCTCTGCCACTTCCTGACCGGAGAACTCCACTCAGTCGCTTGCTCGCGTTCATAGAGGAGAACCGGCCGCCTCCGCCCCCTTTCCAGGCTGCCTCCCCATACACACACAGCCACCTCCACAGACAGCAGACTGCCCAAGACATGAGCAACGGCGTGGGCTTCACCGTGTTCCAAGTGCCTGGCGCCAAGACGGCCAAGCGGCCCACGACGACGCGGCTGGGCGGCGGGCCCGTCCTCTCCAGCGTCGGCAGCTCGCATAGTATGGGGGAGCCGTACACCGCCGCACAGCACGCAGGTAGCGCGTCCGTGGCCAGTAACGGCTCCAGCTCCTCGCTACTCAACCAGCCGCGCGGACAGCGCAACAGCGGCACGACATTTGCGGCCTTCCAGCCCCCAGGAGGCCTTCAGCCCATCTCGTCGCAGAGTTCAGGCATCACCACGTCACTGGGCGCGCCCTACGCCGGCACCAGCGGCAGTATGGGCAGCCACAGCTCCACTGGCAGCAATTCTGGCCTGGCCGTGCCCATGGGCGTAGGCATCGGCTTTAAATCCGGACCGGGCGACGAACAGCCACGCGGCGGCGCCGGGTGGATGCGAACCGGCCGCGTCATCCGGGTCAAGGACTCGGGCGACAGTTTCCGCTTCCCTCTGGACACAGAGCATTTACCCACCGTCAATGTGTCGATCGAGCAGTTCGAGGCGTACAAAACGAAGCTGCAAAGTGTCGCCGAAACTTACGTCAATTCCCCGGCCACGTGGCTGGACAACCCCAGTCTGAGTCCTCAGTACCGCAACCAGAGCTGGAAACCCCATCTAGAGAAGAAAAACTGCGTCATTTACCGTCTGAAAGAAGCAGCAGACGCCAGTAACCTGCAGAGGAAGGCCATGCTACGTGCCAAGCTGGACACGTCGCTGGAAGAGCTCGAATACGCCGTCAACTGTGCCACAACGGAAGACCAGCGCGCCTACATGGCTCACTGCTATCAGGAGAGTTTCCTCGACTCGGCAGTGCTGCAGGTGCACGAGAAGGCCACAAACGACGACTCGTTCCAGTTCCTCGGCATTAAATGGCTCGCCTTCCAGAGCTCCGTAGACTCAGTGTTCAGCTGCCGAGACACGCTTGTTGTCGAGTTTTCGAAGACGATGGAGGACGCCAAGGGACAGAAAGTGCTGGTTAAAGTCCAGCAGAGCGTCAGCATGGCAGATTGCGATGGGAACGAGCGCAACTTTGGATTCTCTCGCACTTCAGGTACCTGGGTCTGGCTGTTCCGTAGTATGGGCCCATCCAGCGGCAAAGTGGACGTGTCGATGTTCTCGGAAGACCGATTCGACAATAACCGCAACACTCCGAGCTGGTTCGCGAACCGCGTAGTATCGACACTTTTCGCTGTGGCTCTTCACCACGCCACCGCTGCAGACGCCAAGTTCCTCGTACGTGGTCGTATGATTACAGACAAGGCGTGGGTGCCCAACAACGAGCGTCCGGCATGCTCTGTATGCTTTAAGAGCTTCAACCTGTTGCGGTCGCGTCACCACTGCCGCGTGTGTGCTGAAATCATGTGCGGAGCTTGCACCATCGAGCTCGGTATCCAGTCCAGCAAGCTCCCGCCAGGAATGCTACCGGAAACAGGCAATAGCTTCATCGTCAGCGTAGAAAAGTTCTGCCTCAAGTGTATAAACAAGGCCCGACAAGAGCGTCGTAGCGCGCTTGCAGCCAAGAGCGCAGGGATCGATCTCGCCTCGGACGAGGCGTACGATGGCAACGTGCCGTCGTCCTATGCCTCAAGAGCTAGTGAGGTGTTTTACGGCCAAGTGCCGCCTGCTCGGGGCTCCATTTCTGACCACTCGGCCGATAGAGAACTCAACCCCCAGCAGAACCACTCGTTTGCGTCTTCATCGTCCTCTACGAGTTCACTAGGAGGAGCCAGTGGTACAAGTGGAGAGAAGTCGGGCATTTCGTACGCTGGCTGGTCGACGAAGGTTCTTTCCGCTATCAACAGAGAGAAACCGGCGGATGGAGCGAAGGAGCAGTCGTTGGTTACGCTTACGTCGGCAGGAAGTAGTAGAAATCTGGATATCGGTGTACCTCGCACCGCGCGGCAAGCATCCGGAGACCGACGACGGCACAACTCGGACGCCTCGGGCGCCTCTACCAGCATCAGTTCGCAGAGCGACCGTGGCAGTTCGGACATCAAGAGCCGCAAGGAGCCCATTGCAGGTGACGCTGTTGTGTTGCTGGAGGAACCCGACGAGGTGCAGAACATTACGCCACTACCGACGTCATTTACGAAAATGGAGGAGCAGATTGCGGCTCAGCAGGCATTGCTGCGCTCGATGTTTATCGAGGGCAAAAAGATCATGGAGCAGCAGCAGGCATACGGAGGACAGGTGCACCCAGCACAGCAGCAACGTTACCTTAACCAGATGTCCCCGCCGGAGAGTGTGGAGGACAAAGGTACGCTCGCCCTACCGCCATCATCGGCTTCTATCGAGTACATCGACTGAGTGATTCTATCCCCCGTGTCGTTGTTACTCTGATCTCTGCATTTTTGCTTCGCCCGTCAAAGTGCCACGTCTGAATTGTCTTGTAATAAACACATTTGTCTGCTCTAGCTGTTTTAAACTGTAATTTTCTTCAACGTTTGTGTATGTTTATTACCATGCAGTATCTTTCATTCTCTTCATCCTTCCTAGCATGCGATGCATCCGCAAAACAATTTTTGCTTCGGGGAACTGGCGGATGTGCCCCCTGTCCTGTTACCGGACGTCTCGCCGCATAGTCCAGCGTGGAGACTCGCAAGAGTAGTCGTCTCACCATACAGCAGTTCTTCTTCGACATGAACCTGGTACTTCTGCGCAATGACGCCTTGGAGTTGAGTCAACACCATCGAGTCCAGACCAAGTTCTTGCAGCGGCGTGTCGTCGTTGATCTGTGTTGGCTCCACGCCTAGAGTACGGGCCAGTTCTTCGACCAAGAATGCGTGTACTTGGTCAGGCGGCACACCCGTGATCACCGACGGTAAGTTCGACTTGGAACCATCATCAGTAGAGGCAACGCGAGGACCATTGACGTTTCGGTTCATCGTCTCACCTGCCACAGCAACATCACCTCCGTCGTCCTCAACTGGAACGTCAGCGATCATGTCCTCATTGCGATAGAGCTCCTCTAGTGTCTTCTCTTCCAGCGCTTTCTTGCAACGTGACCGCGATATTTTACCACTTGTTGTCTTTGGGATAGAGCGAGGCGACAATAGCACGACCAACGTCACTTTGACGCCGTGTTCGCGTGCGATGGCGCTGCGGATCTTCCCACACAGACTTGCCTTGCTGGTCATCGCAGGGTCCCGCAGCTCCGCCACAACAGCGAGCTGCTCATCGTCAGCATTTCCATCAGCTAGATACGAGAATGCAGCACAGCAACCTGGACGTAACTCTTCATGAGACTCTGCTGAGGCCTCCAAGTCCTGTGGGTAATGGTTCCGACCTCGAATAATAACCAGGTCCTTCATGCGACCACAGATAAAGAGCTCCTGGTTGTAGATCACGCCCAAATCGCCGGTCTTTAAAAACGTTTTGCCTTCAGTATCTCCAACCACCTTAGCCTGGAACGCCTCAGCTGAAAACTCTCGCATCTCGTCGCCATAGTAACCTCGAGCCTTCGATGCGCTTGAGATCCAGATCTCGCCAGTCTCCCCTTCAGGTTTTTCTTCTTCTGTTTCGGCATCGACAATGCGGACGTCAATACCATAGTCCTTCCTCGATGGCACACCGCAGCCGATCATCTCTTTCACCAGACCAGCAGTGTTGGTCTTCTCAACCACTCGGAAGACACGGTTACTCTCCAATTCTTGCTTGTCGACCCATAGACGTTGCTGTCCGCCACCACAGACGTATACCGTGTGCTCTGCAAGACCATACGTAGGCTTCACGACACCCTCAGGCAAACCAAAAGGCGAGAAAGCACGGTAGAAGTTGTCGATAGCTTCACCTTGAATAGGCTCCGCACCATTAATCATATGCCGCACACTGGAGAGATCCACATGTTGTCCACTGGCCAGACCAACAGTGAGTCGGTCGCTCTTCCTAGCAAGCAGAGAGTAGGCAAAATTCGGAGCCTGGAGGTGAGTAGCGCGGTGCTTGGACACCAGACGTAGCCACAGACATGGGTCGCGGATAAAGCTGAACGGAGACAGATACACACCCTTTCCGCCATTGAAAATGGTGCCCAGATAAGCGCCGATAAGCCCCATATCGTGGTATTGCGGTAGCCACGACACCACCACCGTATCTCGACCAGCTTGGAGCGCCGAGCTGATTGTGCGCAGATTGTGGTTCAAGTTACCATGCGAAAGCACGACGCCCTTGGGAGCAGAGGTTGAGCCTGAAGTATACTGTAAAAATGCTGTACTGTCGGCAGAAGGTGACTGAGTGAGCCAGTGCTTGGCTGGGTCGATGCCTTTGGTGTCAACCAAATCGTCCGTAACGACCCAATTTAAATGCTCTGGCCACTGAGCAGCACCGGAGAACGTGAACTTCTCTTTGATCGCTGAGATCTTCTTGACGTTGTAGTACATCGAACATGTCAGTGCCGTCTTGGCTTGGCAGTTCTGCGTCACAGATACGAACATACTGATGTCCTTCTTCATCTTGCGAGGGTCCGGTGGGTACACTGGTACTGCAACCACTCCAGCTTTTAGACAAGCCAAAAAGACTACGATAAAATCCAAGCCTGGCGGGTACACCAACAGCACTCGGTCTCCTTGGTTCAGCCCCAGTCTGCACAAAGTATTGTTTAAAAGTTGGGTTTAGTTTCAACCTTTTTTTCCTTTTTTTTTTTTTGCAAAACTAGTAGCATCCTGCACGAACCCTTTGCTATGCTGCTGCGTTGAGGCTAGTAAAAGTCCCGCGAGGTTCTGCATGCGCTTGTTGAGCTCCTAAAAGTGGCGAACGCGACAAGTATCAGAGCAAAATATCGTGAGGCGTTACTCGACGAGTAGAAGACGATAAATCATCGACAAGCTTCATACCGCGCACGTGAGTGAGGCTGTCACGACGCCCTTATCGTCCGCGAACGACAGCATCGTCTACAGCAAGAAACAGCGAGAAAACACGCGTTAGAACCAAATACCAGCAAGTTGGAGGCGATTCTTGAGGCGTTGCGCCTCAGAATTTCGCCCCTAGAGACAAATCTACAGCTTGGTATTTCAATGGGCTATCATGTGGTGACAATGGACCTTGCTGGGCGTCTCGGCAGCCCATTTCTCCACGCGCTCGAGCAGCTCCGACGACATCGTTGCGCGCTTGTGGCCGCAGTACTAAAATGGGTCCAATTGAGAAGCCAGCGTATATCGATTTTGATATGGGTTACACTGGATTATATCGGATTTGGGAGGTCTGGATGCTTCAACGTCAGCAGCCAATCAACGACCTGCCCTGTTATCGGTGACCCTTCGTGCGCAGAGTCTCTTTTGCACTAGTGAACCATGCGAGGCGATCCAGTTGTCTCCCAACGGCTGCAGCGAGCTGCTGAGCAACTCCAAGCGGCGATTCGAAGCGCCAGGAAGAGACGACAGTCAGTGGGGGAATTGGGGGAGAGTCTCAGCGGGAAAGCATGGCAACTGCCACCGACAGTGCTACAAACACCGGAGAGGGACGTGTACGAGGACGATATGATCGAGGAGCAACAGCAGGAGAGCTCTGATGATAAAGTGGAGTCGGATGACACGTCGATTGCATCGGAGTCGATGTTGCAGACCCGTAAGAAAGAAGCTACGAGTTGAAGAAGAGCTCGGGGTCTGACATTTGTTTGGGTGTGTTTGTTGCTACAGCCACGAAAGGGGAGGTGGAAACGAGAGTCGTTGAGAGGGCATACGAAGAACCAGACAGAAGGAACAAAGTGGAGAGCGATATGCGCAAGGCACTTGACTGGATGCAGCGAGACGTGGAGAGACAGGCTCGTGAGAATCGAGTGGTTCAAGAGACATTAGCACGCGCCATCCACGATATTACCGAAGTCATTGCAGATTTCGTGGATAAAGAGGCTGCTAATGTTATACTACGTACTGCTGCTGCAGCGACAGGGATATCTCCCGAGCGGGACAACAATGCAGTCATGCTACAGCTAGCACCAGACAAAGTGGATGAGCTTGTTGGTCTATGGGACGACGCTTTGGTATCTTGGAGAGAGCAGAACCTTGTGAAGAAACAAGAACTTGTGGAAAGGTTTAAGCACTTTGAGGAAGAGTGTCTCGCACGGATGAAAGCTGGTGAGGCGTCGCACAGATTGGAACAAGAACGGCTGATACTCGAGGCTAACCAACAGCAAAGTGAGTGTGTTCTTTGCTAGCATCTACTGCGAAGAATATACTAACGACAACCTTGTGCTTTGTCCAGTGATATACGAAGACTACACGAGTAGTCTTAGGCAAAAGCTCGAGAGTGCTAACTGCATGATCGAGTCTCTACAAGCTCAGAATACTGATCTGTCATTTCAACTGGTCGAAGCTGCAAATGTTCACGTAGTGTCTTCTGATGCGGCCACTGAGACCGACGACCAGTTGTTGGATTCCTCGGTTCGTCTAAAGACATTAGAGCTCTACGCTTTACGCTGTGAAGTAGCACTAAAAGAGCAAGTGCAGCGTGCAAACGAACTAGAAACTCGATTATCGATGCTGCTAGAGGAGTTTGAAGCGCAAAAGCACCAACAAGAACCTCCTCGTGCGGCACATAGCGAAACCGTAGAAACCTATCAACAGAGACTGAACCTACTTGAAGGTCGAATGCAAGACGTACTGCAACAAGTAGCCTGCGATCACGAGCAGTTCGAGTATGAACAAGCGAAGTGGGCACTGGAGAAACGACATCATCGTGAAAAATACGACGAGGTGCTGGACGCCAGTGTGAAAGTGCTCAAAGTGCTGATTATTCGGGAGAAGCTGATGAAAAAGAACGAACGAGCGCAGAAGAGGGACAGTGACCAATGCCACGAGAAGCAGCTTGAGCTCGCTTGTCAGGCCGCAACATTGCAGGGGATAACAACCGAGCTGATGCAACAAAGTGCGATGGTACTGTTGGTAGTACAGCAACTCGCAATGTTGAAGGCAAACACCTGCCAGATCCACGACAAATCCAGCACCTGGACGTTGCCAGCCAAGCCCGTGCAGATAAAGAACATGATCAAACGCTTGAAGAAGATCGAGGCTGCGTTAGGTCGACGCGACTGGATGTCAATCCCGCCAACGACAGCTTCGGCGTCTAGCTCGAGAGTCTGCCCATTTCCAACGGCTTGACTAAGTTGTTCAGAATAACGTCGATTTTTTGGCAGTGAAGTAATTATTCATTGGCGTACACTCCTTTCGAATTGTATAACTCTGGATCTATGGCCTTGTTCATACCTACCTTTGTCACTTTTCACGCCGATGTCCGTGATTCGAATGACTGTACTCTTGATGCCAGCCTAGTGAAACTTGCGTACTGCACATGGTGTATTGCATTACGGATCCGTGCTCAAGTTTGCGTTGCTACGAACAGTGATACCAAGTGTTCAAACAGTATGGAGGACACTACTATGCGAGCAATAGAATGCGGGGAGTCCAAAAATTCCGATGACAGGAAGTCCTGCGTATCCAAATAGAGGCATGCTCAGAGGAGCGGTTACTCCGAAAGCTCCACTCCATCTGGGCACCCGAAAAAGCTGGAGTGCTTCACGACCCTTTGTCCTCCTGTGGTAGAATATAGTAACGCGAGCAACAAAAGCTTCTTTCGAAACGCGAAAAATCCATATTGAAGTTGTTCAATACTACGGAATGTTTTTTTGAATCTAATTCCTGCCAGCTTCACAACAATTCCAACGCCACCTGAGCAGTTAAGGAACAGGATCAAGAGTTTGAAGAAGAGCGAAAAATTCGTTAGGCAAACGCGACTGGATATAAACTTCGCCGACGATGGCATCGGTTTCTATCATATTCAAAGTAGACTCTAGTGATAGGGTTTCTATCACTAGAGTCTACTTTGAATATGATTTAAAATGAAAAACACCAGCACAAAACGTCAGTGGTTACAATGCGTAACATCCATCCTAAAGGAACGATAACCAAAATCATGGAAAATAATAGGAAAAAAGACTTTTTACCAAACTCGATTCTTTTGGTATGCCCATTTCGGGATTTCTTCTCCAGTCGAGCCCAACACAATGCAAGCTGCGATTCAGCTGCTTCAACTGCTTTTGTTGGCGCTACCTGCAGTTGTCAAAGCCGAGGGCTGCGTCACGAAAGCCTGTACTCTCGACTGCCAGCCAGGTGAGACTTGCGCGCTGCAAATGGTGGATTGCATCCGCGCTCCGTGTCCGCCAATTCAAGCGTGCGTCGGTAAGACCAGCAATCCCAACAAGGGTGCCGAGGGTTCGCTAAAATGTACTATGGAATGCGGAGACTTCCAGGAATGCCGTATCTACGAGCCGGATGGCAGTGACTACTGCGCCGACGTGTGCGCTGAGGGTCGTTGTCCCAAAGGATCTATCTGCGAGCTCCAAGAAGTGCAGTGTATCAGGGCACCATGCCCACCTATGGCGACGTGCAACAAGTAAGCTTACTCAAAGTGACCAAGTGCTCCTTAAGAAGAAAAGCGCGGTAAACAATACACGTTTGCATGTCGAAGTTGTTTACATGTTGTTCCGGCGATGGAGTATGGTCTAGCAACATAGGGTATGGGATCTATGGATTTCCAGCGGTAGAGGATTCAAGGCGAAGTGTTCTACCACATATGCGCGAGCTTTCTTGTCGGCACTGAACCGTTTTGCTGTTTACACGTAAGCAACAGGTGCGTGCCCTCGCAGCTAGTCTGCTCCACGTGCCACCTCCTCAACCTTCTCACTTCTCAATCTTCTTCGAGACCCCAACTACAAGATTTCCAGCCAAGATGCGCGTAGCTGCCGTTTTCACCGTGTTATTCGTGGCCCTTGCGACTGCCACCACTGACGCCGCTCCAGAAACCACTGCATGCGACCTCCCTTGCGGCGAGGGCGAGACGTGCACGCTGCAAGAAGTTCAATGCATCACCGCACCATGTGATCCGGTCCCTACGTGCGTTCCGGTTGAGACTCTATCGCTACCGCCTGAGCCTGTGTGCACCATGAAATGTCCAGAGGGTGAAACGTGCCAGATCAACTCGGCGGACAGCTCTCAATACTGCCTTAGTCCTTGTGCTTCGGTGCGCTGTTCGTCAGGCTACACCTGCCAGGTCGAACAAGTCCAATGCATCCGAGCCCCGTGCCCACCTCTCGCGGTTTGCAAGCCCGACAAGAAGGGGAAGAGCCCTTACACCAAGAGAGTCCTTCGGGTCACAAGCAACGAACACTAAAAGCCGATAGTAGTAGGCACACACCTATGTACCGACGCGAGATTTCAATGAGTTCATTTCACATGTATTCGTCACGCAATCCACAGCACTCGTCAATGCATTCATCAATCATAACGATCGCTTTTACTAAAAAAAAGGTGATTAAAAATTCTCTTCACGCATTACATGTGCATTAATACCCTTGTCGTTGCATTGCAGGCATAATTGCGACGGTTTGTCTTTTTAGTAGAAGACGTTTGAGTTTCGCTTGTGTTGGGTTTCCTGGATGCAGGATTAATAAGATCATTTTCGTGCACGACAGAATGGTAAGCTGAGTTCGCGAAACTTGATTGCAAGTCACAAGCGAGCTACGCTCTGTAGGTACAGTATCGGGGTCCGTGCTCAAGAGAAGGAATGCCCAATTTTATAAAGCGTTATTTGTCTAGGACAAGTAACGAAGCACAAGTTCCTGCAGTCCTCGAATGTCAAGATGAATGAATCTTTCACGATAAACAGCGCTTTGAGTTGCCAACGCACATTCCAAAGGAACGAGAGCGATCGGAACGTCAATGCAAAGGCCTCACAAAGATCTTCAACATTCAGATGTGTCCCATAAGCGCTCGATCCAAACCCTTCCAATTGCAAAGCTTTGGTGGCCATCGTGTTACGTGGTGATGAATGCACCGTAACACTCCAAGTCGAGCATTAACGATTGCCGTTGCCTACCGGTATTTAAATAACACGTACGTCGCTCGTCGTAGGCGATTAACATGAAGAGCAAAGCCATCGAGTCTTTCAAGAGTTGAAGACATCCACGCACGCTTCTCCGTTCCCATCCGATGCTTGGCATGGAGGCCGATTGAAATGCAGCATTTCAAATGCTGGCCCACCCACCCATACGGGATCGAGCTCATAAAAACCTTCTCTGGCCAAGTGATCCCAGCGTTTGACGCTTTCCCGACCAGTGTATCCTCTACAAAGCCTCCTCAAGCAAGGCTTTCGTCGATCGTCTCCTCGCATTGCTCGCGATACCAAAACCAAGTTGCTCGTGCTCTATCCTCTTCGATTTGTTTACGGACGTCAAATCTGACACCAGTGCAAGAGTTCTGAATCTTGAACACTTATATAAGCGTCGTCGTCTCCTATAAAAGGGTATCAAACACCTTGTCTCCGATTTAAAGATGTCCTCCGTCTGGCTCTGGCGAGCTCTCGAGCACTCAGATGGAGATTGGCAGCGGCGAAAGACATGGCAGACCGAGGAATTGGCGAATGAACTTGGCGCTTTCACCTTGCAAATCCCGGACTATGGCGAGTTGACAAACCCAGCCTGCCGGTGGGAAATGTCCCCCGGAGACTCCCCGGGCCCAACCTTTTCTTGGAGGTGACAGCGCCACGGCCAGGCAACCCCCACGGCCATTTTACAATCCGCTCGCAGCGACGCACCTCAAGAGTTCTCGTTCTTAGCATCATGGTCTTCTCCTCTGCGATTTTTGGCGTGGCGGCTCTCGCGTCGGCCTACATTGCTGCCCCTGCCGCTGCTGCGGATGAGCCTCTTCCATGGGACGGCCGTGGATTCGACCTGACCGTCGACACGCTGCCGGAGAAGTACTTGACGCACATCCTGACCATGCGCAACAACGGCACGGACGGAAAGGTGTCAGACTACGTGTCCATCGAGAAAGAAGGCCGCTCGCCCGCCTACAACAAGGACACGGGTGTCATCAACGTTGGCGTGGACGCGAAGGCCATTTTCAAGACGCAGACCAACTTCCGTCGCTCGGAGCTGGTGCAGAACATTGCCGCCAACACCGAGGGCACCACCTTCTTCCGCGCCAGCGTCATGAAGGAGGAGGCCTTCCTGAACCCGTACGCTTGGCAGATGATCTTCCCGGAGTCTCACATCTTTGAGATCCGTGTGGATGCCACGGCCAGCCCCGCCAAGATCATCTACCTGAACAACGGCACCTGGGATGCCAAGTGGGAAACCGAGTTCGAGCTCGGCACGTGGTACAACTTCGGCATCGGCATTTCGGCCGCCACCTCGGGCAACGGTTCCGTGCTCGAGTTCTACACGAGCGAGGGCGACAAGGACCTCGCTCTTGAGGCCACCCACGACGTGGTGACCGAGTTCCCCTCGAACTATGAGTTCCACTACGGTCTTTTGACCCTGTCCGATGATGGCAGTGAGCCCAAGATGAACGCCAAGCAGGACATTGTGTCCTACAACGGTGTGTCGGTGGAGGCTGACGTTTCGACGTCTGCCACGGGCGGTGCTGCGTCCAAGTCTACCAAGACTACCGGATCCATTGGCGCTGAGTCCTCGTCTGATGCTTCCACTGAGACCACCGAGGCCCCGACCACGCAGAACGAGACCCCTGCTACCCAGAACGAGATCCCCGCCACCAAGACGGGCATCGTCAAGAGCTCGGATGGCGGCTGTGCCCGCAAGTAAGTGCACCTAAAATTATGTCCGTCTTCATTTCACTGAAGTGATGCACGCACCTGGCTATGCAGTTTGCGCTGTCTTGGCTAGACCTACCTTGTTGGAATAAATGTCCACTGTTCGATGCGTTTCTGAGTTGCTACGTATGTACTGGTTTTGTGCCTGTCAGTTATTCTGCCGCGATTATGCTGGCATAATTCTATTCCTTTCTCAGCCTTAATTATGCCCTATGGTCCGCTAATTCCGTGTTAATTATGGGTTGTCTTATCTCCGCCGGTTTTAGGTATGCCAGTGGGTGAAGGAAAAAGCAGACACGCTGTTTAAATTAAGCCATTCAAGTTGGAGCATATTCTGGTGATGATAATTAATTCATAAGCGTAAAAGCCTGTTTTGCTAACATATAACTGTTAATGAATTAGGGCTATGTGTAGGTTGAGATTGCCTGTTTGGTTTAGGGCATTCCCACCGGTTTTTACTAAACGAAAGTTATAATTAGCTCGATGCGATCGGACAACGGCGCTATCAGATTTGACCTGCTGTAAAAACCGCACCCATTCGACAAAAAAAAACACTCAAAACGTTCGCTACTGAAAGACGAAGAACGCCGTTTGCATGGAGGATCTTCCTGCAACTGCTCGTGAACTCACTGCCGCTCGGAGCGGCTTCCAGGACCTTCTAGCGGTGGGAAATGAAGACGATGACGACGACCTTATCGCTCAGTATCTACTGCTGGATGGACGACCGAACAAGAAGAGGGACTTTCAAACGCGTTATGAGCGCTTCATGAAACAGTATTTTGGTGAAGACCCGGTGTATGACGATAATGACTTTCGTGAACGCAGCCGCATGAGCAAGACCATGTTCCAGCGCGTGCTAGATGGTGTCTTAGAGGCAGATCCAGCATACTTTGAACAGCGTCCTGATGCGACGAAGAAGATGGGAATTCATCCAATAATGAAGGTCACCGCCACGTTGCGTATACTCGCGTACGCCTTACCTGCCGTTTGCCTAGATGAAAACCTCGAAATGTCTAGTACTGTAGTTTACAACAGTGTCATGCATTTCATTGAGGCGATTGACAAACAGTTTGGAGCAGAATACCTTCGCTCTCCAACGGAGGCGGACTTGAAGAGGCTTCTAGAGATGAATGCTCGCCGCGGATTCGTCGGGATGTGGTGTAGCATCGACTGTATGCATTGGTAGTGGAAGAAATGTCCTTATGGGTGGGCAGGACAGTTTAAGGGCAAAGAAAAAAGCCTACCGTTGTTTTAGAAGCATGTGCAGACCAGGAACTACGGATTTGGCATGCAAGTTTCGGGTGGCTGGGCTCCTTAAATGACCTCAGCATTCTTACTCGATATCCGGTATTTAATGATCTCATGAATGGAACCGCTCCTCGTGTTGAGTTTGAGATGAATGGGCAGACGTACAATATGGCATATTGCCTTGCCAATGGCATATACCCTGATTGGCCTGTTTTCATGAAAGGGATGCTACAGCCGCGTGGGAAAATGCAAAAGAAGTTCACACAAAGACAAGAAAGCGTTAGGAAAGACGTGTAACGGGCTTTTGGAGTTATCCAAGCTCGATGGAGAATTTTGGCTGTGCCGTGCAAGCTTCACTTACGCCTAACGTGATGCGTGCTTGTATTATTCTACACAACATGATTTGTGAGGAAAATCGACACTCATTCGCCGACGAGCACGGGTATTTGTTCAATGATCATGACCATTTACATCTCTATAAACTTCGCATCTCGCGTCCACTTGGGAATCGAGCACGCTGAATTGGAGAGCTTGCGGCTCGGATAAATGCAATTGAAAACACAGAGCAGTACTGTGGCGAAGTGGTTCTGCGAAAATTGCTGATCGCTGAGGTCCTCTTGCACACTGCGTCCGAACTGCCGACTAACGGAGGGGGTACTCCGATCTTCCGTGAAGTTGTAATGCTCACCTTGTGTACCCGTCGGTGGGCCGATTCGCTCTTCGGGTGATCTCGGAAGCGACGCTTGGGCTGTTTTCTTGGACTGTCTGGGTAGACAGCGGGACGTTTGACAGCAGCGGGGATACTTCTACTCGCTGCGTCGATTACGGTTTTGAGTTGTCGATCTTAAGGTATAAGATCGCACTCTGTCGATCTTGAGGCGTAAGATCGACGATTTTGGGGGCCGATGTTGGTCTTGGCCCAAGGTATCTTAGGTCGGCAAATCGCCTTCTGGTCAAGCAATCGAGGCGCTCGAACTTCGATCTTGCGTAGGTACGTCTGTAGCGCGTCGTCGGGTGGGCCAAAGTCAATCCCGTGCCCGGAATAGCGAAGACGAAGAACACTTGCTAAGGAAGAAGTAAAAACAACACTGTTTAATGGGCTAGCCTCGTCCTATGTCAAACGCTGAGGATCCTGAACGCCTGCTATCACTCTCTCCCATCCCCGGGTATCACTGGCTCTTTGGTCGGCTGTTTGCGCCACTGGCGGGTCCAGATCGTGGGTCCTTTACCTCATGATCGCATAATCCCTCGCAGACTTGATAAATCGTGGGTACAATTGACTTGGGCAGGTGTGATGTATGCCACACTTGAGATCGCCATCGGTTTGGTCAGGTTTGACGTGGACCACACCAAGATCGCCATAATGGGTGGTGGTCGATCTTGATTGATTGGAACTGATAGCGCCCAGTCTCGGAATATTCTGAATCTGCTTCACCACAGTATTTCCGGTTGCAACAGGCCATTATGGAGCACATTTGGAAATTCTTTGGAGAAGAAGACACTTCAGAATGAATTTTGGTTTTGTATTCGACTAATTCGATCATTATGTAAGGCTCATTATTCGTAATCGGCGCTTGTGAATAATGGATTTATCCAGGATTGACACTGTTAACTGTAAGTGCACATCTGGTCGGTATAGACCTGGGATTCATCCACTTCACTGCTTATTTGCGAGGGTTGCGCCAACGGTGGGAAGCTTGATGAGTAAAACGAGGATTGTGTTTCAGAGAGCGATAATGATGTCACGTTCTCCAGTACCACAGGACACACAGCACTCAACTTCGCAGGAGACGCGAGTACATTTTCATTCTCATAAGATGCCGCTGTCTGTTCAAATGAATGATTATCACTCAAATTAGCCTCTGTCATTGCATTTTCAGTAGTAGAGCCCGATGTTCCCATACTTTCTTCGAGACTGGGTGGAGATGGTGTGGCTTGGTCTTCCAGCGCGCTTAAGCGTCGCAACAAACTGGATCGACGTCTTTCAAGATATGTAGCATGTTCAGCACTCTCTGGCTTGATGCTGAAGAGCTCATTCAGCATGCGGTGGAGTGTTTCTTCTTCCTGTAAGCGTTAAAGAGCCTGGTTAATCCGGAATTTCTTTTTTAGTACGTCCACTTTGGATATCATCGACTTTGACAGGGTTTCTTGAGCCACGACTGTGCGGAATCGCATCGACGCCTCGGAATTCGTTCGCTTTGCCCCCTTGACGCCTTGGTCTGGTCGGGCTTCTACTGTCGTAGATCTGATACTGTTAGCATCTGATTTCAAAGATGCCTCCACGATTACATTCTCAGGACCAGAACGTTTACTACTTAGAGCGTTTTTTTTTTTTGCGTTCAGAGACCTTCTCAACCGACATTTGGAACTTAGGACACTTCGCGAGCACGTCATATCACTTCATGTATCTAAAGTGATGACCGTGGCGCTCCTTGTACAATGACAGCGACTTCTGCATCATGTCGCGTTCTGTCGACCCAGACTCGCGCAGCGACTCAACTAGCTTCATACACCCGACGTACTTGGCTATTGCTTTTTGCACCTGACCAAAATGAGCCGAGAGACTTGTCCAAGCCCGTGGCTCTAGCGTTCCTTTTGCGATGGCCTCGCCTACACGCTCCGAGCTCTCCATCACTTCCTTCACGCGTGTCCACATCGTCTCCGCCGTCTGGTTTATACGACAGATGCATCTGTAGACACATGGGCGTAGGTTTTTGCCAGTTCGAGATCCTCCAACGCGTGATAATTCTTGCCACGCGCGCCTCCTCGCGTGCTGGCATGCTTTTCAATTCGAGAGGTCGCTTGGGATTCCGGCTATCCGCCAGCTATCCGTAGGTAAGATTTGACTGCTGGACCACCGCAGAATAGCCGTTGGCTCTAGTAACACAAATTCACCTTTAAACACGTTTAAGTTTCCTCTTCCATGTTTGTCTGAGTACTCCTTTTGCCTGTCCTGGGCCGCTGCCATGGCATCGCGGACCCTGCTGATCACAATCAGCTTGGTGTCCATAAAGGACTCCACTTGTTTCC